TACGAACCCTTTGTACGAACAAAAGTAAGAGAAATTTAGGAGAAGAATACGAACATGTTCTTGCATGAGGCCCATTGTTCCTGCTTGTAGCTTTGCTCCTGTTTTTGTTTAGTTCTGTCCATTTTCATTCTAACCATATTTATTAACCTGAAAAGTATGACTGAAAAATAATTTAACAAATAAAAACCACAGAAATTAAAAATGATGGTTGTTATTTCACCTTGACTACTTTATCAAATTGCTGTGATTCGGTAGAATAAAAGGTGATTAAAAGTGTTTACCAAGAATAGAAAACAGTCTTTATATGTAAATAATAGAATCCCACATTAATAAAGTTATCCTTTTGTAAAAAATAAAAACGTTTCAGAATTTAACTTGACATTAAATATGTCATGAAGACACATAAAAAACAGCAACCTTTTGTGCACACTCRCCTATTAATTAGGATTTAAGCCCCTCCTGTTTACCTTTATCAAACAACAGACAAAGCGTTTCATTTTTCCAAAGTTAAATCTGATTCTGCACACAGGACAACWAAACCTTGGAAACTCCCACCTCACTTCTGAGTGTTCAGGAGTTTGCAGTGTGTCTCTCTCAGCTCCTGCTCCTCTGTGATGTGACTCAGACAGGAAGCRGTCTTCACGTGTCCAGCCCRTCATGTGCTGATAAAACTWGCATAAAAGTTCATCTCCAGATAAATAAAAGACCACTGGGGTGTTGTTCTGTYCTRAAYTTTACCCYAAGCTTTATATATTTGGAGAACGTTGCTGTAAAGTAACTGTCTGTTCACCGCACGCGTCACAGCCTCATTTTTCCCTCCCTCTCTCTGTGTCRGGACCACAGATTTATAAAGGCCTTTATATCTATGGTCGGGACTCGGGGAGGGTGGGCTCAGGAGCRCAGCCCACGTTGCCTGTTACCAGGTAACAGCAGGTAGACTACAGGGAGCAGCAGCGGCCAATATACCTCAGAAACTCACACTTTTTATACCATATTTCATTTTGTTTGGTCAGTTACGGCCCTGTTGTTTACAGAATGCTGTGATCTGTCTTGGACGGCCCGGATRCCTGAGTGGTCCCAGCCCGCCCAGTGGCGCCGGGCCTGTCAACATGTGTTTTCTTATACACCTGGACCAGTCCCTCTGTGTTTGTCTGTGTCTCTGTCCTGTCCCCTCAAAYCCAGCCGGTCGAGGCAGATGGYCGTCWGTCCTGAGCCTGGTTCTGCTGGAGGTTTCTTCCTGTTAAAAGAGAGTTTTTCCTCTCCACTGTCACCAATGTGCCGCTCAGGATGGGAGATGGTGATTAAGTGATGATTCAACACAATCTGCTGGTTTCTTTAGATTTATTGTTTTTTGAGTACAGTGCCCTGGGACGTTTGTTGACTTGGCGCCATATAAATAAATTGAATTGAATTGAATAATATATATTTGTTGGAAAAAAAAGTATTTTTCCCCTTTTCTA